CCACTGTGCTGGGCCTCAGGTGCCTTTTTCTAGCGGTGTAGCCCTATTCTCAGTTTTCTCATTTTTAAAGCAGGAATTGCAATCTTTGTCTAAGAGAATGACTGAGGGAATTAAATGCGACCGTGCTGTGCTGGTGCTCAGCATGCAGCCACTGAGGACGGGTGGTCGTAGCTGGCACCTTCCCACACTGGGCCTGTTAACGCCCACAGTAAAGCTAAAGGTAGACATGACCATCCTGTTTTTGCAGGTGGGCCACGCAGAAGCAAAAAGGTGCAACAACTTGTCCTCATGTCACTAAGCTCCTTCATGAGTGAGCCTGGATTTGAGCCCAGAGATGTCACTCCAGGGTCCATGCTCTTATCCACCGTCGGTGTACGCGAGCCGCTTTCCTTCCTCGCACACACGGGGTGCACTTGGTCCCTGGATGTGGGCGAGCCGCCCACCCTGCCATGTTTTCCCTTATTTCTCCTGCATGGGTGAATTCCAGCTGCCGTAGAAACAGAATACAGGGGGAAGCGCTGGTTCTGCAACATCAGCACGGATAAAAGCAAATCGCCATCCAACGTCTCGGATGGCAGGTGGCCCAGGGCTTCCTGGGGTTAAAGGTGGCGGATGTGGGAGCCTGAGCAGCCTGCCTTGCTGTCAGCACAGACCACGTGGGCAGATGCTGGTGGCACCGTAATCCCATTTAGTCTATTTCGGGAAGCAGTCAAGTGGATGAGAAAACCCTGGGCTCCTTGGTGGAGAGAGCTGATCAGTCTGACGTCCGCCCGGGTCTGTCTCTCTGTCTGCACACCGCCGTGTATCGTTTGAAGAGAGACTTGGTGTGGAAAGTCTCAGTACCCAGTCCTGGGATTTTAAGTAGGATTTTAGGTGAAGAATTCTGCCTCTGAACGGCCAACCAGGGGTGAATTATGCTAAGAGCAACAGAAGGAGAACCCATTGAAAGCAATACTGATGCGTGTGGGTGCTGACAGAGATAGGGGCTGGGCATTTGTGCCCCAGGGTGTGGACCTGAAGGGAGAGGTTACAGGCTGTCCACACCCAGCCATAGCTGTGGGTGGGTAATTAGGCCGAGGGTGTGTGAGGGGGCCATGGGAGCCCTCCCTGTAGGGCACCAGAAGAAATGTCCCTACATTACCTCCAAGGAAGGAAATACCATTTTCGACTGTCTGGCCCTAAGGACACAGGCAGTGGGGTCTCAAGCCCTGACCCTCTTCCTTGGCGTGTGTTGTGGGCTGGTTCTGCAGACAGGGGCCCAGCTTGGTCTTCGGAAAGCAGGCTGAGGTTGCTAGAAAATATGGTCATTGGCGTTTAGCAAGATGGCATCTGAGTTGGGGTGCTTGGTTCGAGGGCAGATGCTGCCGCCCTTCTCCTGCAAGCCACATCTTCTGCTTATGAGGCCAGAGGGCCTGGGTTGAGAAGGGGGCTCAGAGCTGCCGTGGGGTCTTGCAGCCGCTCTGGGCTTGTTGGTGGAACGTGGCTTTTCTTGGCCCTTAGATAATCCGTATCCTTGGGGGAGAGTGAGAGGGGGGCAAGTTCTCTCCTGACCTTGGCCCTGCCTGCCTTTCCCACTTTTTTTCACGCCAGCCTTCACTCTGTGTTGTTCTGAGGCCAGCCTCTAAGATTTGCAGGGCCTGGGTAAGAGTACAAATGGTACCCACATTCCATCGCCTAGAGTTATAAATCGGCCTATGAAGTGTTACTAAAATAGGTCCTGTCCTTCTATTTTGACCAGAAGTACCTTCACAACGAGGATTTTCCGACTCCTGGGAGTTCTGCCTGGCGCCTAGGGGGTGGGAGGGCCAGCCTCTGCCTGCAGCCTCTCCTGCTCTTCCCGCGCCTGGCTCTGTTTTATTCCCATGTGTCCAAGCTCCTTCCACAGCCCCGCAGACAGCTGGCATTGGGTCTGGTTTTGTTTTCAGTGTTTAGACTTAGTCTGTTTACTGTCTCGTTAGTGAATGACAGTCCACACACAAATTACTGTGATGTGAAAGATAACGAGTACAGCCAGGGAAGACGAGACAGAGTGTGCACAGGGCGGTGAAGCTGCAGACCTGCCGGAGTCGGGGCCTGGACGGCCCCGAATCACAGGCTGCAGGGTTGGAACTGAACATAATGGCCGTCGGGTGGGGGGGGGGGTCCCTGGAGGTTTGGGCAGCGGAGGGACAAGATCATAGCTGAGCAGGAGGACATCAGGCAGGCATCAGTGGGAGGCCTGGGGAAGTGTCAGGAGCCATGACAATGACAAAGCCTTCTCTGTGTTGCAGGAAGTGATGTTCTGCAGTGGATCGTCCAGCGGCTTTGGGTCTCCAATCTGGGTGAGAGCTCTTCCGCGCTCAGTCACCGGGGGTGGCCGAGTGTATAGCGGCATGGGAGAAACTGAATGGACGCTTAGCCCGTGTCTCTGAGAAATTTACATTTTAGTTGGAGAGACACGACTTTCATGCGTAAAACAACCAGAATCAAAAGCAAGGGCAGGATAATCTGGGGACAAAAGAGTCATTTTATACAAATTGTCGAGAGCGTGTAAATAATAGGGGTAATCGGGGAGGACCCAGTTGAGAAAGACTTCTTGGAGGGCTGCTGCGTACACCTGCTCTGGAAAGATGGGACTGATGCTGGCGAATTGGAGATGGGGGCTCCGAGGGTCTCCCTGGATGGAGACTCGCATGAGCGACGGTGGCGGGATGGAAGGGATGGGAATGGAGGGGCACAGAGGGGAATCGGGGGTCATGGCTTCAGCCTCCCACAGGAGGAGGGAGGGCCAAGGAGGAAGTCTTGCCACACCTCGGACGGAGGCCGAGCTCTGGGTGGGATGCAGGTTGGGTCCCTGGGAAGGAGGTCCCTGCAAGACTGGAGGGACAGGGTCCCTTCCAGAGGATGGAGAGATACCTGCTTTCGTGGCTGCTTCTGAGACAGAACCAGGAAAGTTTTCCTTCAATTGAGGCAAATTCAGAAACAAGGCTGTGCTTCTAAATACACGTGGGTGGAGGGACGGGAATTCCAGCACAGTGGGAAGGAGAGGGGAGACCTGGGCCTGGGGTGCAGGCAGATTGAGCTTGGGATAGAGGTTGACAATAGCCCCCTCACTCTTTGAGTGAGAAAGTGTCTGTTGATCCAACAGAAACATTTTCTTCCTGTTCCCTTGACCTTTCCCAGACCCACAGGGCTTAGAGAAGCTTCTCCAGGGCTTCCCCAACTGTCACCCCCAAACCACCTGTGGCAGGCCACCTGTGGGACCTGTTCGCATTCGGCCTCGCTGGCTCCCGTCCAGACTTGCTGAGCTGTCGTTGCTGGGGCTGGGACCAGGGAAGTCGTCCTTCTGGCATGTGCCCAGCTGATACTTGTCCACAGCCCAGTTCAGGAGCTGCTGTCCTCACTCCTCAGATGCAGTGCTGTTAGGATGGGGCACCTCTCCCTGAGTTTGGGGTGCTGTGTGGGCGCGAGGGACTGAGCTTCTGCCCTTGGCCCTGCTTTGACGTCCATGTGTGAACCGCTTCTCCCCAGAGGCACAGAACTTGGGCAACTTCATTGTCAAGTACGGCTACATTTACCCCCTGCAAGACCCCAAGAATCTCATTCTCAAGCCTGACAATAGCCTCTACCGCTTTCAGGTGAGTCTTGGCCTTGGGTGTTATTGTGGGGTTGATCTCACTTGAAAAGAGGCCGGGGCAGTGGCTCACACTGGTAATCCCAGGGAGGTGGGAGGATCGCTTGAAACCAGGAGTTTGAGACTGCAGCGAGCTGTGGTCACACCACTGCACTCCAGCCTGGGTGACAGAGTGAGACCCCATCTCAAAAAAAAAAAAAAAAAAAAAGATAATTGGTTGGCTTCATAGCTTCTAAGATCAGGACTTTAGAAATGGTGGAGGGGGCTAGAATAGTTTTATTTCTTTAGTCATAGGGCTGGTGGGGGGTGGTCCATGGAGTCACACCCCAGTATTAAAGTGTGGTTTCCCTGGTTTCTTTTGCAGACGCCGTATTTCTGGCCCACCCAGCAGTGGCCGGCTGAAGATACAGATTATGGTAAATACCTTGCCACCCTATGCCTTCGCTATTGCTTAACACGCTGCTTATGTACTTGCTGCATTTCGGTGACATTTGTCTTGCTGTCGTCGTGACCTTTGTGTCAGCTCACATCTGCGCTGGGCGTGTTCCTGGGGGAAAGGACCGGGTGTGCTTGGTGTTGTCCCCACCTCTCCGAGCACAGTGGCCCCAAGCACGGGGAGGCCACAGACTGGGTTTTGGAATGTGATGATGATGGAAAATGTCACTGCTTTCTTTTCCAGCCATCTACCTGGCCAAGCGAAATATCAAGAAGAAAGGGATTTTAGAAGAATATGAAAAGGTATGTGGTGTTTTCAAGTAGAGGTTGTTATAACCAAATGGAAGATAGTCTGGAGCTATTTTTCCCTCTGCCCCACGTAACTACATCATCTGCATCTTTATTACCTACCTACCCACCCACCCATCCATTTATTGATTAGAAGCAGCTCACTGCGGTAAACTCTCTCCATGTCTAACTTCAGTTTCTCCTGCTATAATTTAAGCCTCTGCCTCAGTGGCTACTGGGGAGTACAGTGGTTACCCGCTTCCTTTTGCTGTCCCCAAACAATATGACTCAATTAATATGTATAATAATGGACCACCCTTGGTTAACAGATTTGAACTTGAGCTTATGATGGGAAAACAATAGTACCGTTCTGACTTTTGTTTTAGCCTGGGTAAATCAGGTTTCCCAAAGAACACACCCTAACCCTCAAAAGGCTAGCATTTCTGGGCAGAGGGCAGAAATCTTGCTTGTTTTTATTCTTTACAGACATGTTTTTATTATTTATTTATTTCAGGATATGGGGGTACAAACGTGTTTTTAGAAGGGCCAGCATCACATCAGTGTTGGGCTTATCTTTGTGGATCTGTGATGATCTGTTGTTGAATATTGAATTTCCACATTCTTCCTCATCCCCAATCCTCTCTTCCTGATCAGATTTGGGATACATTTATTTAAAGCAAACAAAATCAAGAAAAGTAAGACGTATCGTGAAAGCCGTTTGAGAATTCAGTGCTACTCCTCGAGTGGAGTCTGCCGTGGGGCTGGGTCTGCAGTTGCCATGCGCTGGGGCACGCCCTCGTTGACGCAGGGCTTTGTGCCCTTCGGGCATGGCATATGCCTTGGGGCTCACTGATCTTATTTTATTTTCCTTCTGTAGGAAAACTACAATTTCTTGAACCAAAAAATGAACTACAAGTGGGACTTCGTCATTATGCAGGCCAAGGAGCAGTACAAGTGAGTGAAAGGCTATCACACTCGTTCTCTGGTGTCCTCCCTCCCTCCCTCTCTTCTTTGTTTCCTTTTATTAAAATAAGCCTTTATTGGGTGTGTATGTGCCAGACACCGGGCTGGGCATTGGAAATAAAAAGACACAGTCTCATGGGTCAGGGAGATGCGTGAACAGGCCACGATGCTGCCACGAGATGAGGGCCACATGGTGGGGGTTGCAGAAGGAGCTGTAGGATGGCACTGAACTTGGTGGTTGCATGGGGGTGTCCAGGTGAGGGATGGGGGGTGGATGGATGGAGGGGAGGGGTGGGGCGGGAGAAAGGGTGTTCTAAGCAGATAGAACCTGAGCCGGGAGCCAGGAGAGCGCCGGCTGCAAGCAGTTCCTGGTGGCTGCAGCAGAGAGTGCAAAGCGTGGAACTGGCAGAAGTTAGTGAGATGTTAACTGGAGGTGTTAGCAAGAGCAGATCGAGAGAGGGCTTTGTGCTGAGGGCCTCAGGGAGCCACGGAAAGATTTTTAAGTAGGGGAAGGATATTCAGTAATCAGATTTGCACATTAGAACCACCCACCGCTTGCATTTGCCCATCATCCACATCAGAACCGGAGCTGAACGTCCCCTGGAGGCCTCTGCCTTGCCAGTGAGAGCCAGCGTAAATGTGGGGGACGGTGAGTGGTGGGGAGAGTGTCTCCGTCAGGATGAGGCCAGGCTATCGTAATGAACAGCCCCCAACTCTCAGGGGCTGGAAACCACAAGGTTTCCTGCTTGTATTCCGTGTCCTGACACCGTTTTCCTCACTCCAGTACCCATGCCGACAAAGCAGCGCCATCGGGGCTTTGGCCACTGCTGTAGCAGAGGGAGGGAGAGCCTGTGCGGGTCAAAGCAACACCTGTCACTTGTGCTTGTAATTCATAAAGCAGGTTATATGGCTATGCTCAACTTCAGAGGCAGTGGGTGGGGACCTACACTCCTCCCATGTGCCCAAGAAGTGGGGGAGCCAGGAGAATCTGGTGACCAGCACCAGTGATTACCAGGACGGCCATTCCCACTGGCCCAGCCTCACTCTCCCTGTCGGGTCTGGATCCTGGAAGGTCTAGACTTGCGTGTGTTGGGCTGGGACATTCCCCTCCTCCATTCACTTCTAGGTGCCTTGGGATGAGCAGTTCCTAAGAGGTTCTCTCCTTCCGAGATGCTGGCTTTCCAAGGCTTAACTCCAAGTCTGCCTCTGATTTCAGACTTAGGACCTCACAAAACTAGGCTAGCCATGTAGGTTGGCCCATGAGGTGGTCATTTCGTTATATTGAGCCCCCTCTTCTGAGTTCTGGACTCAGCACCCAGCAGCCTACTCAGGGTCTCGTGTTGATGTCACGCCCGCAACTTCACTTGTCTGTATGTGAATGTGTGTTTCCCTCACTCTCCAGCCTCTTCCTCCACGATTACCACGCCAGTGCAAGGAGCCACCATGCACCTCTGTCCCCAGCAGTGTCCAACGTCCAGTCATCTGGTCCTGTTGCCGCCTCTGGCAAAGTCCCTTCCACTCAGTATGACTCCTGTCTGTCTCCATTATTCCCCTGGCCTGGTCACACCAACCCACTGTCAGCCGGACCGTGGCAGTGTCCTCCTAACTGGCCTCTGCTCCCATTCTGCCCCATGTTTGGACACAAATGGGATCACGTTACTCGACCTTCTCTAAGCTATTAGAGAGAATGCTCACGTCCAATGTCACTTCCTCAAAGAGGCTTTTCTGATGAGCTATTACTGCCCTCAGATCATCCTAAACTCAGCGGCTCAAAACAGCAACAATTATTTTATTATCTGTCACTATTTCCAGAGGTCAGGAATTGAGGAAGGACGTGGCTGGGCAGCTCTGACTCAGAATCTCTTATGTGGCTGCAGTCAGAGGCCTGGGGCAGCCGGGGGCTGCTGGCAGTCCTTGCTCTCCTCTTGTAGCCCCTGGGCCTCTCCCTGTGGTGTAGCTTGAGCTTCCTCAGTGTGGTGACGTCAGGGCGGTCACACTGTCTATGTGGTTGGAGGCTTCGGGAGTACATATTCCAGTGAGGAGGGTGACAGCCGTCAACGTCCCACCTTTTTTGGCCCAGCCTCAGAAATTACACAGTGTCACGTCTGATATCCTACGTTGGTTGAAACCATCACAAAACCCCACCTGCTTCAGCGGGAGGGGACATAGACTTTCTGTCCATGGAAGAAGTGTCCAAGAATTATAAACATATTTCAAAATCCCCACAAAGGACATCCCTGATTCTATATTCTAGTGCCCTGAATGTTTCCTGATAGCACATAATGCAGTTTGCAATTCTATATTGATTTTTTTGACTATTTGTGTAATGTTTAGACCAAAATCTACTGAAAGGGAGATCTACTATGTCTGGTTCACCAGTAGACTCTCGGGGCTTGGAACGTAGTAGAAGATCCATAAATACATGCACGAATGAGTGATTACGCAAATGCTGTTGCTAAAAATATTCATGATATGACAAACTGAAGTAATTCCTAGTTTACGGGCGCTCTTGGATTCCATTGATCATCGCTGTCCTCGGATAGTGTCTATGACAGGAAAGCAGAGGAGCAAAGGCAGAGAGGACCTTCAGGGAAAATTAGAGGTGGGCTCCGTGCGAGGCTGTCCAGTATGACTCCTGTCCGCCCCAGGCAGACCGCGGCCCATCCTCCTGAGGACGGGGGCTGGCGGCAAATCCGGTTAGTTTGGCAAGGGGAAGTTCAAGCGACAGCGTTTATATTTAATTTCCAGAGGAGGCTGGCAAAACACCCCGCTGGGATGGCGCTGTTCCCCCATCTGGCTCCCCGGGTGTTATTATGTTATTCACAGCACATTAACGGGTAGATAGATCTGCCAACTCTGTCACGCAGAGGGCACGTGTGTCATCCCACGCCTGCCTGGGACAACAAGCCTTGACAAGCGTGAGCGAGGGTCGCCGTGGCAATGGGACCCGGTGGGCCGTGGCGATCATTAGTGCGACCTCGCTCCCGGAGGAGGAGCGCCCGGCAGCATTTCCCATCCGTAAAGAGAGAGGAGGAGGTGGGGAGATAAGAGGGAAGATAAATAACCTTTTACAGTTTTACAATGATAAGTTGGGCTCAGAAAAGGCCCCGACATGGCACAAACTCCTTGGCGTAACAGAGTGAATGACAGGGAGGGAGGCAGGAGGGTGCCCAAGGCCAGCGCTTCCCCAGCGCAGTCACCGCGAGGACGGCCTGCTCCTCCAGACTTCACTGCGATGTGATGTTCGCCAAGGCAGGGAAAAGTTAACAAGCCGGATGGTCGCGTGTCGCCCAGGTGGTCACCTGTGCTCACTCCGGAGGTGAAGTCGGCGAGGTCGAGTTGGTCCTGGGGCCAGCTGCACTGGCATGATGTCGTCGCAGCACAGGGCGTGCAGCGCAGGGCCCTGGCAGGGCTGGCCGCCCCTCTTCGGTTCGGTTCTCTGAACTGTGAAGAGAGAAAAATATCTCTGGGAGAATTAAAATGGGTAAAAGGAGTTGGCACATGTACAAGTAGCCAGAATGGTCCCTGGCACGGTGTGTGATGCCCGCGTTCACTGCTGGCTGTCACCACGGCGCACGTGAATTATTTGGGCAGATGGGAGAGTGGTCCAGGTCATCAGGAATGGGGCCATCACTGATCAAAGATGCCAAGTCTTCCTGGCCTTACACACGGCTTTTGGCTTTTCAGGGCTGGAAAGGAGCGGAACAAGGCCGACAGGTACGCCCTGGACTGCCAGGAGAAGGCGTATTGGCTGGTGCACCGATGCCCTGTGAGTGTCCTGCTCCCTGGGTCCCCCATCTCTTCCTACTTCGCCCACCCCTTCCTGTGCTCCCCATCCCTGCTGCCAATGCCTCTCGCTTGGCCTGGAGTTGGCTGGGCAGGAGGAGCCGCCGCTCTGTGTGGGGTTAGCGTCCAGGTGCCTCTTGGCAGGAAGAGGACATGCGCTGTCTGGATAGGGTCTGCTCCCGGCCCTCCTGTTGGTGTTAGGGAGGGAGGGACCTGGACGGAATTGTCTGTTATGAGGGCTGGGACTTCTTTTTAAAAATTTTTTTTGGCCGGGATACCATCCTTTGGGAAAGGAATATAAGAAGGAAAGCTAGAATGTAGGCTCCAAAGCAGAAAGATAGGATGCCGTGAGAACGGAAACTGCACAGCCATCTGCAAAGCTGTCCTGTGTGTCCTGTTCCCTCCTAGACTCAGTCACAGCAGCTGAGATAGGAGGAGAGAAGGAATAAGTGTGTGCTCAGCCTCTCCTTGCTTGCAGCACACTGTGTCTCTGGCTTTGGGACTTTCACAGTCACGGATGACGTGACTAGTCCTCGCTTATCCCTGGGGGATGGTAGTCTCATCCCCCAGCACAGAGGAGCAGGCTCTGACCACCACACCCACTGGGGTTAACTCTGCTGCCTCAGTTTCCTCCTGTGTCAGACCTATATGATGCCTATGGCTCATGGGAGGTTGGAGATGTGAAAGAGTTTGGAAACTGAAGAGTTCAAAATAAATATTCTTCCTCCTCTTCCTTCAGTTTCCTTGCCTGCCACGTACCAGAAATTCTGAGAACCAGGACGTGAGCTGGGTGGGGCATGGTTGCAAAGTTTACAGATTTATGAACTTCAAGACTATCAGATTTTGGCTGTTTTGCTTATTTTCTTTCTGCATTCAAAGTAGATCTTCATAAGGTGTTCCCTCTGTATGGCCATGGGTTTGGATGCTTGTTGCTGAGGTTAAGGTCTTGGGGTTGACCCCCAAGTACCTCGTTTGGTTTTTTTTTTGCTTCAGGGTTCCTCCTCTAAGGAAACCAGTTTGCACATTCCTGACACAAGGTCGTGTGGGCCGGGTGACAGAGCACAGGGTCCTGGACACAAGCACACACCTCTCTGTTGGTAGCTTAGGAGTGAGATCTTTGTGTGAGAAGGGAACTGCACATGGCTCATGTGTTCTGGAAGAAGCACCTTGGTGAAGATAAGGGAAAATGGCGGACATGCCACATTTGGCAAGATGCCCTGGTGCCCAGTAGTGGCAGCATGACTGAGGGAAGCCTGCTCCCGACAAGGTGGAGAATGGCTTCCCTGTTATCCCGTGTAGAGACTCCACGGTGTGGGAATGTCCACGTGACTGTGTCCCCTGCAAAGCGACATCGGCTGGCTGTGCACATGATCCACTCAGGGTCTCTGTCCTCCCCTCTGTCCCGGCAACCAAGAGGTCTAAAGGGAAGAAGATGAAAAACAGATCATTCAGGTTCTCCCCAGTTCTCCTGGGGCAATCTCTCAGCCCCCGCCAGGCAACTGGCCAAGTGGCTCTTCACCGCATGACGTAGAAGTACATAAAGATGACAATGGTGACAACGTGTCTCTGTGGCATCCCTCACCTTGCCTACCATCTTCCCCTCCCCCATTTCCACCTCCCCCTCCGTCACCTCCCTTACCCCTCCCCTACCTCGACTACCTCTCTCACTTCCTGAACTTTCTCCACCACCTCCACTACTTGTTCTCATTGTCATTGTTGTCACGATCTCCATCATCATCACAGCAGATCTAGATTGAGAACTCACAGCGTGCTGGGCACGGTGCTAAACGTTCTGCACTCGCTGTCTTATTTAATCTTTGCAGCCTTGTGTGGAAGGCAGCGTTACTATTCCCATTTTACTGACGAGCAAGTGAAGGCTCAGCGATGTTGCTAATGTGCCCACAGTCACACGGCTAATAGGTGCCAGAGGGTCTGAGCCCACACGCCCCTGACCGTGAAGCCTCCCTCTCAGCCCCTGTGCCCTTCTCCTCTCATGAGATGTCACGTTCAGTCCTTTTGTAATCTCCTTGGCCATTAGAACGTTGCCTGGGTCACTGCTGCTTAAAGAAATGTAATGCCTGAGTCCAAATGTGCCTGGTCCCTCTTTCACAGCCCTGGGGACCCAAGTTCAGAATGAGGCTTTGATGGAGTAGTCCTAAAACTCCTAGAACACAAAACTGTTCTTCCTGTCTAATCTCTCTCGCGGCTGCTCCCTAAGTCAAAACCAGGCCCGTGGTCAAAGATCCGGCAGGAGTGCGCTGGGCCCCGCTCTCTCCAACTTTCTTAGAACACTCCTCCTCTCCCGTTGTCCCGGGTGGGGTAGACGGCGTTGTCTGGAGAGCGTCTCAGCCTAGAAATTGAGCAATCTGACTGACGAGCCCAGGAGCTCAGGAGCGCACAGCCTGTCAGACGGTCTCCAGGAGACCCGAACAGTCTGCCAGTCTAGTGGGAAGACAGCCAGCCGAGGCAAACAAAGCATTTGGCTCTGTGGAGTGTCGAATGGCCGCTCTGTGGACTGATTGTACCCAACTGTTGTAGGATGCGACACAGCCCGTTGTCACTGCACTGACTCAGTCACTTGTTCATTTGTCTGCTCACTGATCCACGAAACTTTCACTGGCCCTGACTCTGTGCCAGGTGAGGGGTTAGGAGCTGGGCGTGAAGTAACAGCTGGGAGTCATCGCACACTGCTGGGTGCCAGTGTTAAGCTCTCAGTGCACCTGACGGCGATGCTGTGAAGTAGGGGTTATTACCGTGCCTGTTATTCACATGGGGAAATCAAGGCTCGGAGAGGTTCTATAGCCTGCTCAGTGCTGGGAGAGGAAGCCACATCTGTCTGATGGCAGAGCCCGATTTGTTGCTGCTGTGCAAGGAGCACCCACACGTGGTCCCTCTCTCAGCTCAAAGAGCTCAGGATGCAAATTGCCGTGACGCAGGTGAGCAGCGCTCTTCCAGACACCAGACCCAACTGTGGGAGGGGCTCAGCGAGGGGTGGGTACTGATTTACGGAGCCAGGAAGGAGTGTCACGGATGTCATCACGGGCAGAGGCCAAGATCAGACATGGGTGGTGGTTGTGGAGGGATCTGACCCGAATTCCCATCCAGAGCTCAGATGCCACCTGTGACTCAGCATCCTGTGATGGAGGAAAACGATTACCCAAATGGAACAAAGTGCAGATCTGAGCACAATGCAGACAACGGTTAGTGTTGTAAATGAACAAAAGGAGAAGCAGCTCCTTTAGACAGTCACTCTGGGGGCCTTCCCTGAACCTCTGCCGTGCCGTCTGTGACTTCATGACTCCCAGAGATATAGTTCTTTGCTTAGGCCTGGTTTTGTGGACAAAGGCTGCTTTCTGGCAGTGTGTGCTCTAAATCAAGTGGTCATTTGTCTGGATATCAAGCTAAATGGCTCTTGTTTCAGCAGACGTTCGCCAGGGAAGGAGATATCTGCCCTCCATTTCCTGTTCAGATTGGGCTAGATGTCCAAGAATGGAAAGTGGCAAAATAAATTGAGGTATATCTAATATGGTGGAACATCATGATGCTATTAAAATATTTTCAGAGCCATTCATGACCTAGGAAAATGGTCTGACACGAAATGTTATAACATAACAACAGGATGGAATGCTCCATATACTCTGGTCCAAATTTTTGAAACTTTAACGTATATTTTGTGAATGGCCAATCTACGCCAAGCAGCGGGGATATGTATATTAACTAAAGGAGCTTTCCAAAGTCTGGTAGGGAGACGAAGACTGAAGCTATTTCTTACACCATGAATGAGTCATGCACAGAATGTCACGGCAGCTTGTAGGTGGCAGGGCCCAGTGTCAGGTGGATGGCCGGGGAACACTTCTCCGTAGAGAGTGACATTCAAGCCAGAATCTGCTTGGAGCAGACTTCTCGAACCCTTTAACCTAAAATCGTCTCCCCCTTTCAGGCTCATTTCTCTCTATTTCTTTTCCCTGTTTTATCAAACAGGTTAGTGTTTTTCTTGTTTTCTGTTCCGTGCGTCAAAAGGGTCTGATCCTATAGGGAGGAGAGTGAAAATGAGACAAGCGTATCAGAACTAGAGAAGGGACAGGAGGGGCACAGTAGAGTGTCACCAAGAAATGCCTGTCGGCTCCACGCTGGCCCTGCTCAGGATGCTGATTCCTGCAGTGTCACCTCACCGGGCAGTTGTCATGAGTACAGAAAGTCCCTTCCTAACCTGAATGATGTGGCATTTCACAAATTGCCTCTTTGACTTATGCCCAAGGGATGTTGGTGGGGCGTCATGCCCTGGCGTTCGCAGTTCCTCTGGTTGAAGAGGGGAAGCTTGCGCGTCCCTGGAGGGCTTCCTGCGTGTGGCACCGGGGGCAGAAAGCGTTTCCGTGCCTCGTATCGGCCGGTAGCACACCGCAGGTAGTGAGGCCGTCCTGATTTCCTGTGTGCAGACAGTCAGCTCTGGGTGGCCTTCATTCGAGCACAGAAACTGCGTCACTAGCGCCTCTGGTGACTATCACGGTGCGTCAAAGGCTTTACGCTACCTGGTGCATGAATGAATGAGTGAATGAATGGAGCTTGGAAGTCTCCCAAACCAGCAGAGGCAGAAGGCAGCCCCCGGGGGAGTTTTGAAGGCAAGACAGCTGGGATGGGACCCCAGCTTGATCAGGAACCACTGAGACTCCTGGGGCCTCTGCCCACAGCGGTGCCGAGATGAGGCAGCAGCCCGGGCAGTGGGCAGCCGGAGGAATGTGCCCGGCTGTTCCCTAGGGCTGGTGGGGAAAGCCGGAGGTCACAGGGGCCTGGAACCGGGCAGGCACGCAGAATAATGAAGCCCAGTGGGTAGCTGCAGGTCTGAGAGTGCAAGGCCACGTGGTCTGGGCGCCGAGGGCACCCCGGTGTCGATCTCGGTGATGCAGGTGCTCTGTTGAGCACCAGGGCGGCCGAATTTGTGTCCGAGACTGGGCGAGCTCAGAGGAAAGAGCTGGATAACTGATTCAAAACTCAAGAGGGCGGCCACACTGCAGCTGTGTGTGCCACGGTGAGTGCCTGCGGCGACGCTGGGGCGTGGGCTCTGTGTGTGTGTCAGTGGGTTGGGGGTGCATGTATGTGAGCATGTGTGAGTGTGTGTATGTGTGTAAGAATGTGTGTGAAGGCGTCACGGTGTGTGCGTGAAGTCTGTCTTCAGCTTCGCTGGGGGGAGCCGGCTGCAGACAAAGGCACCGACCCTGCTGCATGCTAGGTTAGATCCGTCGAGGGCTGGCTTGGACCTCTGTGTTGTCCCTTCAGGGCACCTGTAATGTATCCCTTGCGTGACGAATTGCTGAGTGGCTGCCTCCCCCATGAGACTGGCAGTGCCTCCGCGTGCCTGCTGGGGGGTCTCAATAGCAGTGATCTCGGGGCATGTTCGCCACAGCTCCCCAGAGCTGAGCACAATGTCAGGCACGCAGGAAGTGCCTCGTAGGTACTTGCTGATTGAGGGCCACCTGTGCGTAGGGTAATGATGGCCTCTCGCTCTCCCTGTCCTCCTCTCCACCCACTGTCTGCTGCCTTCCGCTTTCTCTTTCCTGCCCAGGCCGTATGTCCATGGTAGCCCACTGAGCTAGGTTGCTGGATTTAGCAAATAAAATACAGGGTGCCCGGTTCAATTTGAACTTCAGCTAAACAACAAATAACTCTTATAAAAGATAGACTCTGTATTCAAATTTATTTTCTATATCTTAGCATGAATATACAATAAGCAGAAGAATATTGAGCCGGAAACCATTTCCTGTTTATCTGAAATTAACTGGACGTCCTATATTTTATTTGGCGACCCTACCTCTGTGCTAAAAGTGTGTCTGATCCAGATGGGGACAGAGCCCTGTCACTTCCCAACCCTCTGCTTCAGTGTAGTCAGCCTGGTTGACCACAGGTGCTGAGCACTAGGGGGATGCTGGCTCCAAACCTGCACAGAGGGAAGTGAAAGGCTCAAATCAACCGGCCTCGTGGAGTCGAGGAGTTGAGAGAGGCCAAGAAAGATTTTCTGGAGGGTGGGCTGCCCTGATGGAAAAGGGAGCTGACAACGATTGGCCACACCTTTACGGAGGTGGTTTAAAGTGAATGCAGTCCCTTGCTCAGTAATAGCTGCTGTCTGTTGGGAGCCTCACACCCTATCTCGTTAAATCTTCCCAAGAACCTGCCAGGCAGGAGGCATCATCTGTTTCGTAGATGGGTCAGCGAGTGCAGAGAGAGGTGGTTTCTAAGATCTTCGGCATAGCTGGGAAGCTGCAGAACCAGGATTGGAACCTAGAGGTGCCGGACTCTCCCAAAGCACTGCTCTGTTACGGCTCTTTCCCCATCCATCCCAAGACAGAAAAGACATAAACCACAGAGTGTGGGGAAGGAGCACTGTGGGAGGAGTCAGGAGTCCCATGTATTAGTCCCAGTCAACTCTTTATGGGCTTGAGTGTTACAATCTATCCATCCACCTCCCCAGCCCCCCTATGCATTCCCCCATCCATCCATCCATCCCTCCATCCCACTATGATGCTGGGAATGCCATCCATCTGTCCATCCATCTACCCTACCATGCATCCGTCCATCTATTCATCCATTCATCCATTCAGCTACCCTTCCATCCATTTATCCATCTCACTATGTTCTGGGGATGCTGTGGGTGCAGAACACGGGGTGCAGCTCCCATGAAGCTCACCAGCTCACCTGGAGGGTTTACACACCCTCATGGCTCCCTGTGGGCTAGGCCACAAGACTTTCTTGGCTCAATCTCAGAATTGGCAGCTTGGCCAAGACCCAAAGTTAATCAGAAACCGGAGACTCACCCTATAGTGATCCTTATGTTTTTTTATTCCATTCAGCCAGGAATGCACAATGTGCTGGACTATGGCCTGGACCGAGTGACCGATCCGAATGAAGTTAAGGTAAACCAGGTACGTCTCTGCTGCATACTTTGCCTAGGTCGGGTCCTGAGGCTGGGAATGTGTCCACACGTCTGTTCATGTCTGTTAGGGCAATGATATCTCCCCTTTGAGATGCCAAAGAGAGGAGGACTATGGCTCTGTGGAATCAGGGTCAAGGGAGAAACGAGACTATGGCAAGGGTCCCAGGAAAGAGAGATTACAAGTGGAGAGGGACGAGAGAACGCAGGGTGCAGGGCAGAGCAGATGGGATCGAGATCGTTGGTTTTCAAACTTTTCTGAGTCACTTCCCCTTTTGAAAATCTGATGAAGGTTATGCACCCATTCCACTCAAAGAGGCACAGATGGACATTTTGCACACAATTTCAGCCAGTTCCTTGATCCTGAGAGGATGAGAGGGCCCAGGCTCAAAACCCTTGAATCAACTTCAAATTTAAAACTTAATCCATGTGGCAGGGCCTGGAATGTCACAGTTTCTTTCACATCCCAGCGGGGTGGGATCTTTGCAAAGATTCTCCAACACTTTTTATTTTAAAAAGACTCTTTCTACAGATAGGCCACCTTTCATGATGGATGGCCAATTTCCTATGACTTTTTTTTTTTAATTTAAAGAGATGCAGTTCATAAACTGTTGAGACTGTGGCACTGTTGACATTTTGGGCCAGATAATTTTTTGGTGGTGGTGGTGGTGGGGTTGTCCTGTGCCTGTAGGGTGTTTAAGAGCATCGCTGGCCTTTACCCACTAGATGTCAGGACCTGCAGCCCTCTCCCTGCCCACCTCCAGCCCCGATCAAAAATGTCTCCAGACATTGCCCAACATACCCGGGAGAGAGTCGAAATTGCTCTCGGTGAGAACCACTGATCCCAGCCTGAAACCCATGCGAACTGGTCTTACACGGTTTCATTGCTCTCTGTCTAATGTTATCTTTGGGTAGTCAGAACTCAGTCACCTCTTGGTGTGCTGTCCAAGGGCTTGGCAGTGCCTTGCAGCGTGAGTGGGGCCCTGGGGGGACGTGCAGGGAAGTGGGAGGGGACAGAGAACAGAGCAGGAAACCGGCAGCTCTGGGACAGTGTCTGCTTTTGCAGACTAGGATATGCGAAGAGAGACATGGAGTCCCCAGAGAGCATCCCTGGTGAGGGGATCGTTAGGTCCCCTGTCCCCAAGCCAAAGAGACCCTTCCTCTGATACACACAGGCGCTGTCAGCCTCTGCTCAGCTGCTCCCGGGCAGCCTTTCCCGTGTTCCCCTTGTCAGATAACAGATCACTGCTGAGGCCCTGGAGGCTTGGTTGCCATGGGAACAGAATCCTCCAGTAAAATACTGAACGGGGTGGAAGATTTGCTTTTGTTATGGCTGACTGGCAGCTCTGGAAACCTCTTTCCTGTGGAGGAGGGGAGGGCGGGGGCAGAAAGCAGGTCACCCACTCTGACATTGGGGGTGTGGGGACGCAGGGGCCCCCGTCTTTGACCCAAGCCGTTTGTGTGTTGTGGGGGTGGGACGTTAACTTGAGCAATTTGGGAGGGGGGCTGAGGAGCCCACTGCTCCGTCCCGTCCTGGGGGTGATGGTTAGGGTGACTTCCAAAGAGGGTAGCCAGACAGCCCTTGTCGCTGAAAAGGCCCCCCCACCGGCCCCCGCCTCAGGTCCCCTTTCCTGCGACGCTGGTGGTCCCCTCAGCCCAGAGCCCCAGCGAGCGCACTGGGTGTGAGACCGATGTCCTGATGGTGTGGGGCTGGGCAGGGGCTGGGCCTGCACTGCTGCTCACCCGTCACCTCTCTCTCTCTCTCTCCCCAGCTGTCTTTCTCCTACATGTGCGCTCCGGCTGCTGTGCAGCGTTAAGAAGAGCAAAGAACCACACTGCTTGTGCATGCGGGTCCCTCCCGGCCCTCCCCTCGGCCAGCCCCAGCGGGCTGTGTCTTACCTGCTTGCAGCATTGCCCACGGTCCGAGTGTCCCCCGTTGTCCCGTGCGGACCTGCCCGGGGAGGAGAGGGCCGGCGAGAACGTGAAGTCTCCACGAGGCCTCGCGAGTTCAGAGGTTTTGGATTTCTGTCTCAGTTCAGAGAACACGGTGCCTGAGCTGGTTTGAAGAGAGAGGTCATTCTGAGAATGAGTGAATTCTTGAAAAGATATCTGTTTCCTTTAGAGGCAAATAGCCTATCAAGCATGAGACAGGAGGCTGTGAGGTTGGCGGGTACCTAGGGCCCTGGTGACCCCCTTCCTCAGGCTGGTGGCAGCGTCAGCAAGGCTGCCCAGTCCTGGGAGGAATGGGTCCTGGGCCAGGTGCCGAGCCCCAGACGCGTGTCCTCTCTCGATTCCAAAACCTCCAGCCCCTCTGCCCCAGGAAGAGACGGGGCCGGGGGCTGTTCTGACAGGGTCACCACTGTGGTTTAGGGATGAGGGCGGTCAGCCCCACTCTACCACTCCCTGGCCGTGTGATCTTGGGCACACTCTTGAGCCATTCGAAGTCTCAGTTTCCTCATCTATAAAACGGGAATCACAATAGTTCCTTCTTCAGAAGATTACACGGGATGATTTATGTGACGTGTCTAGAACCGCAATCAGCACGCAGACACTCCATAAACAGCAGCTGTCATCATTGTAACTGTCGCCATGTTGCAAGAGAGAATTTATGGGGCCGGTAGACCTCAGACCCCATTTTTGGGGGCTGTGCCTTAGCCAATTTCCTCTTCTGTTCTCACACCATCTCACACTTGTGTCCTGGTTGCAGTTGGAGGGAGGAAGATACGCCCCAGTTTCAGCCTCTGCCTAGTCCAATCAGCAGCTGCTGAGACGGCACAGTCCACACTGGTGTGCACACAGGTCTTTGGGCAAAAGGCAGAAATATGGCCCCACGGTACTAAATACTGTGCTCTGCAGGGCACTGGCCTGGAGCCCTCAGCGTGCAAAGCCCCCCACCCCCGCGTGCTCCCATCGTAGGGGACAAACTGCTTTCTTCTTGTGGGCCCTTGTGTGGGCGTGGCTGGCTGGGGAGGACTGAGGGCTCGCTGCAGCCAAGCAGGGGCTAAGTGCTCCACACCTGGCGCTGGCTCAGTTAAGAGTCACAGCAGCCGTAGCAGGTAAACAGTGGGGTTGGCATCCCTGTTTCGTAGCTGAGGGAGTAGGCCGAGAGAGAAGGGGTTGGGGAGAGAGGTAACTCCAAGGACACACAGCCGGAAATGCTGAAGCTGCGATTCGAACCTCAGCCGATGGCCAGCAGGGCCCACTCTGTTTCCTGCCTGACGTTTTCTGATATCCATTGTGTGGCTCTTAGAAGCTTTGCCGGATTTTCTTAAATCTGTTAAGAGAGATAATATCAGTTTCATTTTTCGTATGAAAAAACCAAAACACAGAGAGATTGCCATTTGTCAGAGGTGGCCGGGCCAGGATTCAGAGTTCCTGGAGCTCTGTGGCTCGTGCTCTTCCCTGTTACCCATGTACCCCACCCCCCACCACGGCCTCAGTCCTGCGCCCAGGGCCAGCTTCTCGGGCAGGCGGCTTGCATGTTGCCCAAGACCTCATGCTCCGGAGGGCCCTTGCGTGCTTTAATGTTCTGTTGCCATCTTGAAATTCTTTATACTTTTTTCTGGACAGAGTCCCTGCATTTTCATTTTGCACCGAGCCTTGCAAATTGTAAGCAATCCTGCCTCCTCTGCCTGATGGGGAAGTACCTGGAGGGACAGATACTTACTGCAGAGGATTGCAATCTCGAATCCTCGTCCGCCTGGACAGCTGCCTCCCTCTCCTTTCTTGTCTGCTTTGCATTAACCGCCTCAGTTTCTCATCTCCCGGTTTCTGACCTCGGACCTGCTCTCCGCTCTCCATGGCTGTGCTGCCAGATTCCGGCTTTCGCTCCGTGGCTTGCCCAACCCTCCACCTGCGTTTCGTTGCAGACTCCTGCCTGGCTGCCCTGTGCTAAGGTCCCTGCTTGTCCCTCCCCTGGGCTCCCACGCTCCTGCCTGGCAGTGGCCCTGTGACAATTGTCCGCATCTTCCATCGAGGTTCCGGCCGACCAGCTGGCCATAGAGCTGTGTAAACAAGTCTAGACTGTGTCCCTATTTGGGCAGCTCTGCAAGGGAAAAATAAGAAGTTGTTAGAATTCCAAGAATGCAGAGCATTCAAAGATTCCTTAGGCAGAATATTCCTCCTGTAGCAAAGTGTGTCACCAGGATGAAGAATAAAAAGAAGTGGCTTCGCTCCAGGAGGGCCCGCTGCTGAGAAGGGAAGCGATTTGTGTGCGAGTTCCAGGGTGGAAAAAAAAAGTTTATTTCTTCTCATTTTAGCATGAGATGGTTTTCTTTGAATTGCTTAGAATTAGGTATATCTTTGAATAGCTTCACTTAACTTTAATGTTTCTTACGGCCTTTGGTGAAGGAATTGTCATATTGATATAGTAGGTTTGCAAGATTTAACAAATAAAAAATACAGAATTCTCAGTTATATTTGAATGTCAGATAAACAATGAATAATTTTTTCTCCCTCTAAGTATGTCCCAAATATTGCCTGGGCATCTTGTATTTTATCTTGTAATAGGGCTAAAATCGCACTGTGCACACGCTCAGTAGTGGGGGGTGTATTAACCCTGCTTAGTAGCCACTGTTGCTGGAGTTTCTGTGTGTTCCAGTCACCTCTGTCTGTCATCTCGTTGAATCCCCCTATCTTCTGTTCTCCTCTTACAAATGAGAAATTGGAAGCTCTGAGATGCTAAAGGACTCATCCAAGGTCACACAGCCAGTAAGTGGTAGAACCAGGATTTTAACCGTTCCCCCTGACAGAGAGCAAGTTGTCTCTTCTGTTTAGAAAAGTCCAGAACCCTTTCCCCTCATTGCACCAATACGCACACCCCTAGAAGGGCAGAGATACCTCTATGTCAGTCTAGAGAAGCCAATCCCATGGACAGCTTTTTTTTTTTCTTTTTCTTTTTTTTTTTTTTTTGAGACAGGGTCTTGCTCTGTCGCTCAGGCCAGAGTGCAGTGACATTATCTCAAATTCCTGGGCTCAAGCTATCCTCCTGCCTCAGCCTCCCAAGTAGCTGGGACTACAGGCACGTGCCACCATGCCCAGCTAATTTTTCTATTTTTTGTAGAGACGGGTGTCTCGCTCTGTTGCCCAGGCTGGTCTCGAACTCCTGGCCTCAAGCAATCCTCCCACCTCAGCCTCCCAGAGTGCTAGGATTACAGGCGTGGGCCACCGCACCCAGCCAAGATAGCTATTTTTAAAGCTAGAGGTAAAAGCTAAAATTCATGCAGACAATCCCGGCTAGAGGTGGGGAAGCCTCACATTCAACCGAATCCTGTTATTAGAGCTCACGCTGCAGCCTGATTCCCAGAAGATAACTGGTGATTCTGGGAATCTGAAAACAAACAGCAAACTACACCACACAGGCAGAGCCCTAAAAAGGTAATAAAATCAAATGAAGTGACTAAAAATATAAACATAGGAAAACCCTGAAGACTGAGATAACGGTCCCAGAAGCAAACACACTAGGTCAAAGGAAGACGGGGAGAGGTAGGAGTGAGTGTGCACGACTGTGGCTGGCAAGGGTAGCTCCCTGCGGGGCCCAGAGAACACAGGACAGCCGGGATCTTGCTTCTTGCACCTGTGTTTGTTCACTGGGGAGTCTTGGGCCCCCAGGTGCTAGTCACAGAACGGTGGCCAACAGGAAGTTCGATCATGGGGCTTGGACACTTTGAAGGTGTTTTTGACACTGGCTGCTGAGCACGGGCCTAGCACAATTTCCATCTTCACCATCATGGGTATTCATGAGAGTGTTACCTGTGTTTGAGTTTCATGTCATGATTGGGGCTCTAGCTCTCTTTTTGTTTTCATTTTGAATTAAATGACTGGATAGAGTCATTCCACCCTGCAGCATTCTCTGCTTCAGGGCAAGGGAGGAATGGGAAGAGGGCAGGCTAGGTTGGAGAAGGTGAATAGGTCCAATGAGTTTCTGTTTCTCTTGGATCACTCCTCAGCTTTGCAAAGGGCAGAGCTGGAATTGAATCCTGGCTCCACCAATTACTGACCAGATACTGAGAAAGTTACCCTCAGCCTCTCAGAGCCTTGGTTTCCTCAGCTGAAAATCAGTATAATAAAATCTCCCCCCCAAGCTTTGTGAAGGCTCAAAGAGGTGTACATTGCTTTGTGGTAGGTGCCAGGCAGTTATTATTATGCAAAAGTCCAGCTTCCTCTTTGAGCACAGGGCATAGACCTGGAGATACTATTCTGAATAATCCACTCCAGCAAGATTCTAACAGAAGGAAGTGATTATATAGTATTAGATTTGAATGCAAATCTACTCTGGCCCCAGGGTCTTTTTCTACCTAAAATGTGTATCTTCTGAAACAGTGGCTTATGTTGGGAGAGAATGGGAACAGATAATAAGTGTGGTTGCCAAAATATTTGGATCATTTGGGTAGTGTTTCCACTTGGTTAAGTGAAAAAAATTCTATTAAGCTTAGAAAAGTCCCCATTTTTCTAGGCCTCCAAACACCCCAAAGTCATCATTTACTTGATATTTATTGAGCATCTACTCTGCATCAGACATTATACTAGGGAAGACAGATATGTTGTCCCTACTCTTAATGGTGCCTTAATGTTGATTCATACATTAAACAAGGAGTCACACTAATAAATATGTAATTAAAATCGTGATAAGTGCTACAAAGGAGAAAGTCAGGTTGTGTGAGGGTCTAAAACAGAGAGACCTACCTGGGCTTTACCTTTCTAAGATAACTCTCCCTACTCCTCCATGCAGGGAAATAAATTATATAAAAGTAATCCAGGGAAGCAAAAATGAAACCCGGTATGGATTAGAAAGGAGAGACGAGTACATGACATTCCACATTGGACTCTGCTGCATTCCTTGTCAGTGGGCTCATGGGCCAGTGTTTATTTTGCTAACTGGCTAAAAGAAAGTAAGTGACCTCCTTGAACTTATGACTCATTTCCAAGTGAAGACTTGGCTGGGTTAAGCAGCATGGATATTGGCAGCCAGGAATCAGGATGCTCAGCTTGAAGTAGAGTCGGCACCAGCCAGCCCCTGGACATGACCAAACCTATGAAAACTGAGACTGGAATCACCACTGTGGCCAACTTGAAAAGTTACATGGTGCAGAACTGTGGTGGCAAGGAAGCACGCCCCTCTCAGATTGTAGAAGATCTATGTGTTTTAGCTGGTGACAGATCTGAATGGTTCTCAGGAGCTTCTAGGAGGCTAAACAAGGAGCCCCTTTTGGAGACATCCTTTCTCTGCTGTAACTCAAAAAGGCCAGAGAGAAGACACCTTGAAGCTCATCCCTAGTGTGAACTTGGTCCAGCAGCTTCAGCAGGGGGATAGGCACGATGTGATCTTCCACATCGCAGCTCAACTCTGGGACTCAGCTTGCAGAGGATGCTGGTCTCAAGCCTTTTAATTGTGTGCTTTCTCTTTGGCAACATGGCTTTTTTTTTTTCAGTTTGTGGTATTGGCCAAGTTGTTATGACTGCCTGAGGAAGGCATCTCATCATTCTTTCAGAGCTCTTCCCTATGAGAAAAGAAACAAACACTCCAGCTCCATGCTAGTTTCTTCATCTTTTTCTCTCATTCCATATCTCAGATAGGAATCTTTATTTCTTGCTCTGCAGATCATTCTGTTAGGCACTGTGCTAGATTGGAACCAACCCCAAACTTAGTCTTTAATTCATCTTGGCTTTTAGGAGAACAGTGTAAAGTTACAGTGATAAATTATACTACTTCCCTTACCAAATCTCTTAGTTGCTATTATCTCTAGTGGTTACATAGAATAGGGTGGGGGCTGTGATAATGGGAAATCCTACATTTTAAGTAAGAAAAGATGGGCAGTTTTCTCATGGGGAACGATTTTTATTTTTCAAATGGGTATTTGAACTGCAACGATTTAATGACATCTGTTTAATGGTTTTTGCTTCTTTGTTTTACAGAAACAAACAATCACTGCTGTCAAAAAAGAGGTAATTAGTCTTCCAGTTCCAGTGAAGTTTGATTTTGAAATCTTCTAATAAATTATGTATACTTTGGCTGTATGCTCTGCATTCAGTAATGAAATGAAAACCATGTGCAATGTTCAATTGTTTCCAAGTTAATGGACACCACAGAATGACAAAGCATCCTCTGTAAGATCTGAGTGGGGCTTATGGAGACTCAGGATGTGAAACACCCCTCAAAGGCATAGAGAGGGGGCCATGACCAGAGAGGACAGTGGGAACCAGTGCTGCGGTGTCTACATCCTCAACCCGGCCCCTGCCGCTATAATTACAGGGCATTCAGAATCTATTCTGAGAGTGGCAAATCTTATATCCAGGACCCAAGACAGAGCCCTGGGAGGCATTGGCCATTGAGGTGGGATGTGTCCATCAATATCTGAATAGGGAAGCAGGTGTCTGAGGAGGGGATGGCTTGCTTCTACTACAGCAGAACAAGGGGATTAAGGTTGTCACCTGTGATGGGGACCACCCTCTGCTTCTGTCAGCCAGAGGATCATGAGGGAAAAGCCAAGCATCTGTCCTCATGTCTCAGTTTAATGTTCTTTAGAACATTTTATTTTTTCTGCTGGTGTCTCTTTTTCCAGACGAGCACATGGGTTAAGGAGGCCACTAGTTTGGAGTTTGGGGTGGGCTGTCTACCGTGGGCCTGAGTCCCGTTGGTGCCGAGGGAGGTGGCTTGAGGGAATGGGGTGGGGTGGTGTTATGGATAAATGGCTTCTGGTTTTGGAGGCCATATGTGTTGGTGTTAGTGACACTCAAGCGTGGGGAAGTGGGACATCTAACTACTGTGTCTCTTCCAGATCATGTATTACCAACAGGCCTTAATGAGGTCCACAGTGAAGTCTTCAGTGTCCCTTGGAGGGTATGTCCCTGATTTGTTGGTCTTGCTGACGTGTGAGCAATAGGTAGGCTAGAGGAGAACTTCTGTTTTAAGGCAATTTTGGTAGGTCATGGGCTGACTGATTTAAGATCCCAACGAACTGAGAGAGACAGAACTAGCTTCTTGGGGGTGTAGTTCCTAGTTCTTCACTCAGAATCTAAGTCTCCAGGTCTCATCTTGGGTTAGACAAAATCAAGGATGGGTGAGGTTCCATAAAAGTCTGTCATGTTTCTTGGAATCCATTACTGTGTGGATAGGGAGGGTGGGAAAACTTGGAAATCTGTGACCCTGTAGGTACAGCCTGTGTTCCTGTCACTACCCACTCAAATTTATTAGGGATGTGTGCATTAGGTTTACTGGTTCAGTGTGCTGTTAAATGTCTATTATTAAACTTTGGTTTAAAATCCAATTAGGATAAATTAGAAATTTATATTTGATTTATTGAACTTTCAGGCTACCTTGATCTAGTCCCCCATGGGACACAATCTGGGAGCCACAAAAGGGCTCGGTGCCTCCTCAGTGCAAGCAGTTATCCTTTTGAAATGTGCAATGTGGAATTCATTTCAGGACCACGTTGCTAACTCTGAGGTTTTCCTGCACACATGAAAATGAACTTGGCTTATTTCTGGGGAGGCACAATGTGACTAATCATTTATTCAGACTGTGTAAGACTCAAGT